CAGTTAAATTGGTATCAAATGTTTTGTAAAAGTACAGAAAATTGTACACACATATTCACACTAAGACATGCAAGTCTGCCACGAGTCACACACACTCCAAACGGCTGGAAGTGTGTATGTGTGTGTGTGTGTGTGTGTGTGTGTGTGCGTGTGTGTGTGTCCGTGTGTGTGTGTCCATATATCATCCTCAAGAGATGAGACAGAGAGACAATTATTTAAACATATACAACAATTATATATCAAGACATCCATAAAGGGACATTTATATTTATATTTATATTTAATAACTGAATCCAGCTTGTGTATGCACCAGTAGCTTTAGCTCTGTGTTATATTATGTTGTGTTAATTCTAACATACAAAACTGAGACAAAGTGACGCTCAGATGTAACTTATTTTCCTCTTTTCTTGCCTTATTTTATATTTGCCTGAAAACTCATTTATGATGAAAAATTTTCCCTGCATGCTTATTAATCCCAGATTTAGGTAGTGCATTCTTTTTCAAGTAGTTTATTAAATTAATTTGAGTGTGGATTTAACAAAGAAGATGTTGAATGAATTTCTACTTGAGAGGATTTTTGATGAATTTACACTTGTATGTTCAGGCTTGCTTTAGCTGTAATTCAAGCTGTTTATATTAAAGCTGCGCTGCAGAAGGAGGAGATGGAAGCTCGAGCGTTACATGTGGCGCAGTGTGTGTGAGAGTGTTTGAATGGGTTTACATGTACATATGTGTCTCCACCTTTTATTGTTTTTTTACAAGAGTTAGTTTATAGTTTATGAGTCTCATACATGTTCAAGGGAGAGGCGTGCGTGCGCGCGTGCGCGTGTGCATGTGTGTTGGACTTGTATACATGATATCTTGTAATGTTTTTAACATTTGCGAGAGTTTGATCAGAGTGTACAGACAGGAATAAATGTTAAATGTGAAAGTGTCTGGGGTTGTTTTGTTTATTTTTTATTTTTTTTTGGCATGCGTGTGCGTGTGTGTGTGCGTGTGTGTGTGCGCGTGTGTTTGTGTGTGACACTTCTGTTTCCAAATCAACATGAGGCGGAGTGTGTTTTCTCTTGTTTCGTGTTTTCACTTGGTCAGTGTGTGTGTGTGTGTGTGTGTGAAGTAAAAAAGTCTGCTATGTTGACACAAGTGGGTTTAAAGGGTTTGTAATTTGATATCTTTATCTTATTGTTCTCGCAGGATAAACAGGATGATGGGGCAGCAGCCGGACATAACAGACGCTTATACACACGGGTATATGTTTCATCTTATATGTTATGAAAAACAACACAAATTTGACGTATAGTCCTATTTTCTAACACTTAATTATTGACTGTTCAGAAAAACGGTAAAATATTATTTGATAAGAAACCACAGCTGATGTGAAAATATTGTTTTTGTAAGTTAGAAACCCACTGAAAGATTGATCTTTTAAATTCCATCACCTTACAAAAAACCCCGATTTCTTTAGCTCCCAGTTTATTAACATATATTTACCCAAATTTTCTAGGGCTAAAATGTTTCACTTAGTCATATATTTAGCTGAAACTGCAGCTGTCAAACCCGACTTAGACCACTGATATTTGCTGGAATGTCTCAGTCACCTTTGTCGGTCATTTTTTCTAAACGTGACAGACATGAAAATATAAGACGTGTTTAAAAAGAGCACTGTTGTGTTTTTGCCTGGAATCAAATACTGAAAGATTAAGCTCATGTCGGCTCTCTGTGTCCTCAGATGCAGCTGCTGTAATGTTGCTGTCAGTCATGAAACAGGACTGTAGGTATGTAAAAATTAAACCACAATTGTAAACGTGGATAGGAATATCGTTGAGAGGATGCACTGAACCTGTGTCCCTTGTCAGATACTTTTAAATGACTTTTCCCCCTGGGTAGATATTTGTGAAAGGAACTGTTTGGACGGAAAGTTAGACCGGAGCTCTCCTGTAACTTCCAGCAGTGAATGTTGCGCTTTTCTGGTGCGTAAAAGAGGAATTTCGCTGTGTGTTGATGTCGCTCGGGTACTTCCTTTAAAAAGTTATTCTTTAGGCTGATACAAGCATGTGGTGCCACCGACGTTATTACCAGCTAAAAGGGCATAAACGGGAGCAGGGGTAGTCGGTGTAGGGTATGTGTAAAGGACAGGGCAGGTGTGGTCTGCTCGCTGGTCTCTGTCAGGTGTGTGTCTGATGCTAGGACAGATGTGGAAACCCCTGTGCAGAGCTGGGGTCGATCATTCACATTTGGTGAGGTTTTTTTTCAACTGTTAATGTTAAAGGAGGGTTTGTGTGTGTGTGTGTGTGTGTGTGTGTGTGTGTGTGTGTGTGTGTGTGTGTGTGTGTGTGTGTGTGTCACTGTCCACTTCTGTGGTGCTGAAATGCGTGTTTCAGCACCACAGAGATGGACAGCGACACACAAAAAGAAAAGAAAACACGTTAATTGACTGTCTTCTAAACTCTGGCAAAGTCTATTTACTGCAATAAACTCCGGTCTATTTTTTCAACATGGTTGAAATCAGTGATGGCAGGATTTATTTTTGTATTATTATTTTATCAGTTTGAGGAATTATCAGCACAGAGGAAACATTAGTCCTAAACGCTGCCCTGGTGTGACTCTTTTTATGTCTTTAAATTATAGATATTTTTGCTCAGATTAAAAACTTGTGTTTCTTGATGAGTAAAATTTAGGAAATACAAGATAAAATTTGGACTCACTGGGTTAAGAAGACACGGTCGGATTAGGGTGTGTGTAGGGAAAATAGGGTCAGTGTTGGGTCTGATAAAGTGAGAGAAAGGGTGTGTGTGTGTGTGTGTGTTGAGAGGAGGATGCAGAAACTCAAATGTGAGGGAGGCTTTGTGTTGCAGGATTTAGGGGAGGTGGTGTGTGTGTGTGCGTGTGTGTGTGTGTGTGTGTGTGTGTGTGTGTGTGTGTGTGTGTGTGTGTGTGTGTGTGTGTGTGTGTATGTGTGAGTGATAATGTGTGTTCAGGGCTATCGATACTGGGAGGAGTAAATACACTTTTCGTGTGTAAGCTACCAAACAAAAACTTGAAATTAGAAAACAGTAGAGGCTGTGGTTTGTAGTATCGTAGTGGCACAAGCTGGGAAAAATATACAAAATACTTTTTTTTTGTAGCCTGTGTGTATTTAAAATTTAAAATCACCCAAAAATAAACGTGTTAAGAGGCGGGGGACACGCTGATATTCTTATATGTTTGTGCACTTTTTCTGTGTGTTTGAAATCTTGCAGATTATACAGATACATGTAGAGACTTTCACAGTGATTTGTGCACGACTAAATCCTTATTTTCTCTCTTGTTTTCAGCTTTTGGGCTGCTGAGGACTCTACCGAGACGTGAAGGTGGACTTTCCAAACGTCCGATAGGAGTGTGTGTGTGTGTGTGTGTGTGTGTGTGTGTGTGTGTGTGTCTCATGTATGATATTTGATCATATTTAATGTTATCAGTTGAAGCACACTTTGAGGCTGATCTCTTACAAACGTAATGTCATTTTAATGCCTGTGTTACACTCCACTTAAAACTTGTGTGTACTGTTTTTAATGTTGGCAAATATGCAGATGATATTAGAGACTGTACGTTGATAAATGAAATATCTGAATATCTGATATGAAATTATTGGCTGTGCAATGATGCCGGAATATAACATTGGTGCTGTAAAATTAATTGTTGTGAGGATTTTTTTGAGAAAGACTTTGAAAATATATTTTACCCTACACATTGTAACTATGACTTGCTCAGAAATACATTTAATTCCACCCTGTTTAAAATTGTTACACAACTTGCTGCTCCTTCCACTCGCAGTCACGTTGACTTCGGTCCCCCCACTTGTGTCAAAGAATACGAGCAGCTGCATGATGACTGTCAGCATGTAGTCACATTTTCATACTCTTGTTCCTCTGCTGAGTACATGACAGTGTTTGCTTTGTTCCACGGAGCCTCAGTTTGTCAGAATTTCATGTTTAGTTTGGGTGTGTGTGTGAGAGAGAGAGAGACAGGGAGCATGGCGGCGGGAGGGCTTGGGGGGGGGGTGTTGGAGACTAAAAAATACAAATAGCCTTCCTGGGTCGGAGTGGGAAGCAGAGAGCACATACATTCTGCTGAGGAGAGAACCATAAAAGCCGCTTGTGCTGAAACATCAGCGTATGCTTGCACTGGTTTATTCGTGTGCATGGGCATGTTGGAAAAAAAACAGTTAAATGAGGCGATGTAAATTCACATGCCACTGTTTATGTAACGCACACATCACATCCCCTCAATGTTTGGGAAGGGGAACTTTACGATGGGGATAATCTCGCGAGAGTCTGAACAGCGAAAATTGGGCTGGGGATTGTAGTTTTTAGTTTTGGGGAGCTTCTATGCGCGCCTGTTGCGGCAGATGCAGAGTGTGGAACAGTTGTTTGGCGCAATATTTATGAATCTGTGCGCTAAGATTCCTCGCTGCACCTGTCTCCACATTTTTTTGTGGTTATCAGCAGTATGATGCAGACAGAATACCTAAAATAGACGAGTGACTCATGTCTAAGTGGGAGCAGGCTGACCTCACAGACTGGCATCCCTTTAGCCAATAAACTGTCTCCAAGAGGCGGGAAGACGCGCACATTTCTCACCAATGAGAGCATCCTTTCATTCATAAAGTGGTGTGGGCAGTTTTTTTCCGAAAGCGTGGGTTTGGAGGGTTTCATAATCCTGACTGAAACCGTCAAACCTGCTCTGGCGAGAGCCAATGACGGGCTCCGGATGGAAGCTGCCGTAATGTTTGCCCAATCGCTCCTCATCCCGGTCTCTCTTTGACCCACCCTGCTTCATACAGAAAATCGAATGAATGGGAGAAGCTCTGCAGCCGATTGACACGCAAATGCACCAACCGGCGGGGTGTATCAGGCGAGAGGCAGCGACCGCATCCAGTGAGTGGCAGAGAAGGGCGGGACAGAGTAGGAGGTGGGCGGTGCACTTTAAATCAGGCTAGACAAGTGTTGGGGGAGTTGTGGGAGTGTGTGATGCTACAACCTCCTTATAAAGGGACTCTCTCTCACGTTGTGGCTTGGAAATTAGAGCACATTGCCTAAAATTGAGGTCTCCACACACACTCTCTCACACACGCCGAGCCACCGAGAGCCGCTGCCATGAACTGGATGAACGCTGAGGAGACTCTGCGCAGGGCCGAGACGCCTCTCTTCTGGGTCGGTGCATTAACTGTGGCCTCCCTGGCGCTGTGGCTGCTCTACAGGCTGCTCTCAGGCTTTAGGATCTGGGTCTTGGGAAACGGACAGCTGCTCTCTCCGAAGCTGGGCAAATGGGCAGGTGAGTTGGGTCACATCAATTTTCACGCCACCTTACATCACGGTCACGAAGAGGGCAGCTCAGAAGTAGGCAGGTGGACTCGACGTGCAAACACCAGAATGAGGTTATTGAGCTCAAACTTCACTTTGGCACAAAGAAGAGCTGCATTCTGGTGCGTTTTTGTGGCTTAGTTCAAGGGGAGGTTGGTGTTGCGTAACAAGCGCAGGTAAGCAACTGATTGACTGACAAGGTAATGGTCCTTATTAGCTCAATTGGCTTTTTGTTTGTTGTTTTTTCTCTCTCTCGCGTCAAACACAAGCTCGGGGTGCTGCTGCCAAGGGCTCCATTCAGCGTTTTCACCCACATTTGGAGGGGTAGGGGGATGCCCCACATTGGTGAGCCAGGAGCCAAATTGCGCAGGCTATGCGCACTTTTCAGAGATCTGTTTTATGTGGGTGAGCTCTCACCCAGCGCACTACTGAACCACATTAGCCCATCCGCGTGATGTAGGACAAACCCATATGCCCAATTAAAACGTGACCTACATCTATATCATTTTCATAGCTTTTGACTTCTCGAAATATATCACATTGTGGTAGGTTGTCCAACATTTTGACTCTTGTGTTGATGATCTTTGAGCCCACTTTGTATATTAATACATTCAGGCGGGGTTTTTGTTAAGCTTTTGCTTGTGTCGTCGGTTTCTTTATCATCATTTCTTGTCACATTGCCATGTCCCATTGCGTCCCCCTCCACATATGTTTAGAAAAGATTAAAATGTCTTTAATTGGATTTCACTCTATAATGCACTTTGTCAACGGGCTTGGCCAAATAGGAGCGTGTTTCCAGTCGGATCGTTTTTTTTGGTTTGGTGGGGACTAGTCTCCCAGGAATCGCCCTGCCATGGCTTGACCCACTTCTCCAGTCTCCTGTTTGGAGAAGACTGCTGCGTCTGGAGCCTCTTGCTGCGCAATTTGCCAAGCGCTCCCCTTCGCGTCGGGATAGGTTGATCATTTCCCCCATTTCTTTCTAACACCCCAACCACCAGACGACCCGGATGATTTGAATGCGTGTTTTTATTATTATTATTTTTTTTAAACAACCCAGATGTTTATCTGCACCGTGACGCATTTTGCCTCCATATCGTCGTTTTTTTTATGAATGGGGTGTTTTAATTGATGGCATTTGCGCCATAGGAAGGAATGAAACGCATGACGCAAAGGTAGGGTGCCTTTAGGAATGACTAATTTACATTTTGTTAGTGAATCTGCCAGAATATGCGGAGGAATACCGGTGCACACCGATGAGTCATGCGCTTGTTCATCGCTTCGTCATTCATTGGTCATATAGAAATTGTGATTTCCCCCTCCCCTCCCTCTCTAGCACCCCAGTATCTTGTAGTTGAGGTTTCCTTTCTGCCCTCTTGGTAACCAAAATGATTCCTCAAGCTTGTACTAGCAGAGCTCATTTAGCTGCAGTAAAGAACCTCTCAGAGATTTTTTTTATTGCATCAAATGTAATCCACCTGATTCTGTTGAAGTTGTAAGAGTTTAGACAATGGTCTAAACCAGCAGTTTTAAAGAGGTATTTTGGAGAGGATTCTTGTTTCACTCCTCTAAGGCTTCAGGAAAACTGTTACCTACATTTTCCACATCAGCCACATTTATTCGTGTATACCCTTTCTTAGCGTAAACTTGCATGCCACTCCCTGAAACCGGTTCCCAGCCACCAGTCGGACAGGTCTGGCGTTCCTTTACAATCACAAACGTAACGTTCAAAGTGCCAGGGATGAGGTGTCCTCCTCAGCTGGTTGTACCAGATGTGCAGGTCTGGCCAGGTTAGGCAATGGTGTGATTTTCTTTCTTTCTTTACGCACATACAGATATGTATGTGACTCCCTGTCTCCACCTCTCAGGCACCTGTTGCGACAAGTTATTGAACAGGCTTGGTATTATTAATTTTAATGCACAATAAGCATCAGGAATGTAATATGTGAAGTGTTTGTTGATGTTTAGTGTGTAGCTGCTCCACATAAACTGCTTGAGACTTTAAAATCCATTCTTTCTCTCTGAAGAGCAGTTGCATAATACTGCAGGTGAGGACTTCAACACAAACCTTAAAGTCTTTTATCTATTCATGGCAGTAAATATTCACTAATATAAAGTGTCTTTGTGTAGGAAAACAAACAAGTGAAGCTTGACATTTCATGACATTTGCCTTTTTTATAGAATACTTCCCCACTTCAAATCACCTGCTGAACTGAGGAAGAATAATATGGAAAATATGTGAACTTTTTTTCACCCATAGAAGACATTCTTAGACTGACATGCTTTCTAGAAAAAGGTTTTGTTGGCTTGTCTCATCCTTTTAAACATGTGGTTTTAGCAATCCACATGGCTGCTATCGCAACACAGGAGACAACATGGTATTTCCTGGTCAGACAGGTTTTGAGTGTGTGCTGGTGGTAAAGTTTGCCCGGTAACCATCAGATAAGAGTTAATCCCTTCCCTTTATGTAACGCAAGTGAATGTGAAATAGTTTAAATCCTTGGTTTTAGAGGTTTTTTCTTTGCATCACTGCACATATTGCCTTGTTGTAGGCTGAAGCTCTGCAGCTCAGCACATGCAGAGGAGAGCAGGGATTTCTCTGGAGTTCCTCTGCCAATGAATGACTGGTCTTCCCCTTAGTGGATGGGACTCCTAGCGGCAGAACAGGAGCACTGCAACATGGGTTAAGGCGGCTTCCCCAGCCTCTCCACTGCACTGTGCATCCACACACACTCCCTCCCCACCTCCTGCCAGCCTAGTCGATGTCTGCAGCTCTGCTTTTAAAACGCCACATTTATACATTTTTATAAGTCGAGACATTTTTATTTTATTTTATTATCTCTCTTTTCTTTTCTTTTTTACCACTACCAAAAAGACTAAACTGCATCAGAAGAAAGGGACATTCCTGTAGGCTTTTGTTAGCAGTGTGCGGTAACTTGGCTTTCTTAGTCTTGAAGTTAACTCTTTCTGATATTTTGTGGCATTTTAGCAGATTTTCTTTTAAATAATGTAGTGTTCAATGTTTATGCTTTTATTTCCAGTGGAGCCGTGTTGGACTGTAATGTGTAGTAGTGACCAGTTTTCTTCTCTTGGCTCACTCCACTCTTAGCCCCCAGCATCCCATATTATATAAGGGAGTGTCTGTTCTGTTGACTGAGTGAAACTCCATTATGGGGAAGTAAATCAGAGCAAAGGGAGCTTTTTGCGAGGGTGGTGGGGGGTGTTGTGATGTGATGTGTGCCTAGAATGCCCTAAACTGTAATGTCAAGGGGGGGGGCCCTTTGACATTACAGTTTATTGAGAAAAAGGTCCTGTTATGTAAGAAGGAGGCAGCCATTCATTAGTATAGCACAAGAGTAACAAAGACTTGGGTCAGCACATTTAGTTCAGTTTGATTCGGCTTCAGGAATCAACATTTAGTTGAGTTACAGGGTGGTAGTAATTACTATGAAAGAATATTTCTTTATATTAATACATATAATTTTTGTATGAATAGGAATTAGGCTTTATTTATGTAAGAAACATGCACATATGTGAATGAAATGTATCCAAGTGTGTGCGTGCATCCATGCGTGTATGTTTAAACTGAGGCAGGGTCTCCACTTCTTCATCCTTGTGAATGTGCTTCCCCCTAGTGCTTTGTATGAGCGAGAGAGGGTGTGTGTGGGTGGAGAGGGAGAGGGGGAGAGAGGGCGCGAGAACACTGCTGTTCATGTGATGAACACGCTCTGTGACACGTGCCGGAGCCAGGGATGCTGGGTAAAAAAAAGAAGAGGGAGGGAGGAAAAAATCCTCTGCATCTCCCTCATTTCAAGCTCTTCTCAATACATCCCTCCCTCCCTCACTCAATCTCACCCAACTCCCCATCCAGCCAGTGTGTGTATCTTTCTCTATACATTTCTCTCTTTGAGGCTAAAGTAACATTTTCCTCCGAGCATGTTGTTCTCTTATGTTTCCTTTTTCTCACACACTCCCTTTCTCTCTAAACTCTTTCATGTTGTATCATGACTAAATTTCCCCCCTAATCAGCTTGTATTTTCTTAGAAATTAAATATTTATGTGCTTGCTATCATTATACCAGTATCGATATTATTTTTCAATGCATGAAAAAAGACTATTATCAATCCAGAAAACATTAAAGAGTAATACTGTAGCTTCACAAACACAAAGATGTTGCTTATCTGTATGATAGATAGTTCTCTGACCACAGTTCACACTACATGAAGAGTTTAAGACAACTTCTGGATCTAGTAACTTGCAATTGACGCTCATTACTTGTACATTTCTTCAAATGTTTAGTCAAATGGTCTAGGGCTACAACAAATGATTTTTCATTATTGATGAATCTGCTGTTTATTTTCTCGATTAATTGACAGACAATGGCTAAAACATTTCAATGTCCAGTTTGGATCCAAACACCCAAAGATAATCAAGTTTACTGTAATATAAGAGACAATCAGCCAATCCTTACAATTTGAGGAGCTTGAACAAGGTGATGTTTGGTATTTGCTTGTAAATGGCATAAACATGGTGTTAATAGATTCATTTTCTGTCAAGCCACTAATCAACTAATAGTTTCTATTTTAAAATGATTATTTGAAGCCCTCATACTGACAAATCAACTAAAATGCCTCATCAAATAAGAAAATGCTAAATATTTCTAGTTGAATGAAGCTAGTAGACCCTTTAAAACACCTTGATTATTTTCACACAAGCCATGCCTTTACACTATGAACTGGTTTAACTTACATTCCAGCATTATCTTTCATTATCAATATCTTTAATACAGCTAATGCTAGGCTGGAAAGAAGGACATCAAGTACAGTAATGAAATAGCTGTTCAGTCTCGTTCTCAAAACACAAAATACTGGACCACCAGCATATTTGGAGTCAGTTATTTATTGACGCCCATTGTAGTTATACCTTCTTGAGTTGGTTGCAGTCCAACATGCCAGAAAGGCAGTTTGTTCAGTT